TCCGCTGCATATGTCTGGATGCACTCCACAAGCTCGTGCTCTTCCAGGAGAATCTGCATCCGGAACTTCCAGGCAGCGAAGTTCAAGCCATCGAACAACGGCAACAACACACGATCGAACTTTTCCTCCTCCATAACGAAAACACCGCACTTCCGATACTTATCCGATAAAACGCGACCGGGCCCAAAACCTGAAGTGGTTTCGGATACACCAGGACGAAAAAAACCGAGAAAAATAGCGATTTAAGGAAAAACGAAATTGAACTTTATTGAAACGTGTTTTACTTTTGTTTACTCTGAGCGAATGAAGTAGTAGAAAAACGCACAGGGGCGTACCAAAGGTAGGGGCAACTAGTACACTGTGGTTACACTCTTAACATAGAGTACACGTGCAAGAGAAGATGAATCTCTTTGTTCTTCCAGTTTTGCAAAATTGTTGCTGTGATATTGTCATGGAATCAATGAAAATGAAATCAATGAAAGCGACGATTTAAACCATTAATGTTTTCAGCAAAGTTTGTGAAAATGCTAAGATCTACAACTTTGTTGAACATTTTATTTTTCTAAAACGCAAAGAAAAAAAGCTAGAAATTTTATTTTTTGTCCTAAGGGATTTAAATTATGGACGACCCCTTCATCAGATGCGCCTTTTCTAAATATAAACTTGTCTGAAGACGCCAACTTGATTAAACTGCATCTTTATGCACTTATTTAGTTTTTACCTGAAAAACACCCACTGTGCAATGACATGAAAGCAATCTTGAATAACTCTAGTATTAACATTATCTACTCCAACCGATTTTCCTAATGAAAAACAAATAACTCTAAGTTCATCTAATGTAATTGGGTGAAAACCTTCAAATCTATAACTACTATTAACTGGCTGTTTTATTTCGTCAATTCAATGGATTGATTAATCAATGAAACACTGTCCACAAAATAATCATTAAACTTAGCTGCAATTACTTGTTCTGACTGTTCTAATGTGCCATTAAAAGTTGTGGACCGCGATTTGTAATTGCTAGGTTTTAATAAAGATTTCAAAATTTTCCATAACTCTTTGCTTTTGTTTTGATGCTGATCAATCTTGCTTTGTACATATTCACGACGAGTTTTGTTTATCGATTGTGAATACTTATTACGCGCGATTGTGTACCTATTCCAGTGATTGTCATTATTTGACCCACAAAACCATTTGTCCCCTTCCCGTTTAAGACGCAAAAGATCCAAATTGTACCAGCTGTTCGAGTTCTTCAAAGAAACAAACTTTTGCTCAACTAGTTGATTGGTACACGTTTTCAAAGCGTTACAGCTGTAGATTCATCTAAGTTACCGGCCGCGAATGGAAAATCCACGCTCCTCTCAACAAGATTCGAAACAGCTTGCTTCGAATATTTCCTCCAGCACTTCAATTTTACAAAATTATCGTTATCGTTAACATGGTCTCAGACATTAATCACTAAGGTTTTCATGATCGGTTATTTTCAAATCAGTATCCGTAACTGAACAAATGGAATCAAAATTGGACTAAACGTGGTCAATTAAAAATCTACTGTGCCTGGAAATACGCGTATATTCATTAACCGTTTGCTTTAAATAAAAAAAAACTCAGTTAAACGCTTCAAATGATTCGAATTATGGCTATCACGCCAATTAATATTAAAATCACCAGCCAATATATTTAATTTACTAAAATCAAGGAATGTCTCGAGCAGTTTCTCTAAAACTTAAACAAAACGCTGGTCACTAGAACCCATCTTCATGCCACGTACAACTGTAATACCCAAGAACTAGAATGTGATAAACAAGCAGCAACAATATATCCCGGAATACTACATATACTGATACAATACAATAAACTTTAAAAAAAACATGGTACAATAAACTTTTCCCCAGACTATTTATCCCAGAATGAAGCCGATAGGAAAACCGTGGAACAGAACAATTGAATACAATCTGACAAGCGCGTAGGTGGAAAATAATCAAAACAAATCAAGAAAAACGATCAAAGCATGCACGCCTGTGGGTGAGGTGATGGATCGTGACTGAGAAAATAATGTCAGCTCAGGAGTCTACTAAGGTGCAAAATGCGCTACTTATTAGTTGGAATGAAGTTTTATGTTTGAATTTGTATGTTTTCAAAAAATTTACATTTTTTTTCTTTTAAAATCCAATCATTTCTCCACAACTTTTTCTCAAACACAATTTTGATACAATTTTAATAAACGGTTTCAGAGTTAAAATTTTTGAAAAAAAATATGGTCAGTTTTTCCAATCTTGATTATTCATTAAATCGATTTTTTCTCTCACGTTTTTGAAAGCTAAAGACTTCTTGATATGCCTGCGAGACATATTGCGAATTTTCCGTTTGTGAAGAATTTCGCCATGAACTTAGCTTTATTTTAGAGGTTAATAGACATTAAGCAAACGGATACTCGAGACTCTTTAGCATGCTACCTAAAACCACACATCGTAGCATCTGTTGGAGACTAAATTTAGGTACCAACCAAACTGGTAAGGTAAATGTGACATTCCAGTTGGATTAGTATATAAGTCGTAGATAAAAAATGGATTCCTCAGTGGTGTTGAGTACTTGGTACTGATGAAGTTTGCAAGTAGAAGACGAAATACGCGTATGTGTTAAAAGTAAGCAATTATAACGGAATTTAAAGGAAATAAAACAACACACTCAAATAGCTCTTCATAAAGGGATTCCATTAAATGGATCGACAAAATTGAAAGATACAATCATTCTCTTTCGAAAATATGACCTTGTTAGCTCAAGAGCGTTCAGCATAGCAGCCTTCGAAGAATTTTCATGATTCTGTAACTCGGAAAACTTCTTAAGTCTTTTAGGGACTTTGGAAATTCTTCGAGATTTTGAACTTTAAAATATTAACTTTATTTTAGAGCTCAGAACAATTGTTGCTGTTTGATAGCAAAAATCTTTTTCATGATTATTGAAACTACAATATTTTTTCAAGATCTTTTTTTTTGTATTGATGCAATGAATTTTTGGTAAGGCGAAAAAAGAAACTCTTTGAATTCGACCCTTGAGCTTGTCATCCTTGGCCGATAGTAGGACAGGACGCGTCAGCTCAAACGTAGCTTCCCTGTTGAAATTTAACGTTTTGTGGCACGTAGTCCCGTCCAGTGCTGCCAAAGTTATGGTCTGTTTCGAAAGGAAAAAAAAATTTCTTTTTGTTGCATTATTTTTGAAAACCGATAATGGATCAAGAGTATTTTCAGGTAGAGTAGTGGATGTTCTAACAAGAATAGAGTTGATAAAAGTGAACCCGTGACAAAATGTGATATTATTTAATCTATTCGGAAATTTGAAATCTCGTAAAGAAGTTTTATGATAATTTAAAGAAATTAATTATAATTTTTCATCAGCTATGAGTGGCTATTATGTGTAAAGTTGTGATTTTCCTCAGTTGTCATGTATGTGCATAGGTTTAATTTCCTTACTAATATGCATAATTTTACTTGAAACTGTGTATATTTTTGGTTTTCTTAATTATTGTTATTTTTAGCCGTAAGCTAGTTCATTACGTTGCTGCGTATCAATTATTTTTTAAGCTTAATCAGTTGCTGGCATAGACGGAGAATCTCACTTCGTAAACGTGCTTCTATTGGACTTGAATTCTTATCTTGATTTGCTACCTGCCCTATATTATTCTCAACTTGTTCCATATCCACTCTTCGTCTAGCCATTAAACAATCACCAATGATCTAAAATGATTGGCTACACCTAATCGTTTCGATTTAAACAAAATTGTATTTATTTATTTGTTTTTTAGTAATTACTTACGCTGCATAGTCTAATGTGGGGACGAACTTCAAACAACGGCACTTCTTCCTAATTAAAAACGCACGCCCGCACGTAACCATTTCCAGCGAATGATTGGGTCCTTGGAAACGGTAGAAATGATGCCCTGGATTCGCTTTATCGCTTCTTCTACATCCGATTACCTTGCACTTCATTTTGGAATTTCAAACGAACCAAAATAGAGCAGATTGGACAAAATGAAAATGACTCAATGTAACCGCTGATGTTGCTATGCCAATTATGTGTGTCATGCCAATCTTCTAGCAATACGGCCAAAACAATTACAAACAACCCTGTATTAATTTCAGCGAGGCTTCCTTGTGTTATTTTCAGCCAATCAGAGAGCGGTTTCCTTTTGACACCATGTTGGTCTCAAAATTTAACATGAGCTGCCGCCACCCAGGGCCGATACTAAAGAGATGAACCAGCAGCAGGCTAGAAATCTCTATAAAAAAGTTCAAATTATCACCACCCCCTCCCACACTAAGGCGCTGAGTGTGGCCCGCACTTTACGTAGAAGCCCACCATATCACTGCTCTTAGTAATGCTGCTGTACAAATTTATGAATTTCAAGAAGGGAGATCGTATTCTACCATTTTACCCCAATCAAATACAACCACTGGTATTTGCATTTGGACCCCAGTATGCTCCTGAAAGATATCCTTCGGCATTGACATCTCTAACACGACTGATCGCATAGTCCATTCCACATTAAACGCGGCATAGTCGCGTTCGTATGCAAACAACCCGAGCGAGCACGTGCTAGTGCCGAACGAGCACATGTTATCGCTTCGTGCGCCTATTCTGCAGTATACCGGTCTGTGGTTTGCACTTGAAACCCGTGATGACGCACTTTCAGATGGTTTCGCTGCTTGCCTCATGCGGTTACCTACCGACTACGCTTGCTTCATCATATGTGGCTGGTTGGGTGCTGGTGATTGTTGGCAACGTGAAAATGAATGAACTTGAGGGGAATTCATGCCAGACATTTTTTTCTATCGTTGACTGGGTTACGGATGGTTGTTGCCAACTTGCCTCTAGATATCGTTTGTGTGGATGTCGTTAGGAATTTCTACGTTGAGTGACATACATTGATTGGCTAACAACGCGTTTATTATACTGAAATGCTAAATATGCCACAACTCAACTAATTTAACAATCCGTTAGTTTAGATTCTGGTTATGATTAGAAAACAATCGATTACTTTCAATTCTACATTACATTTAAACTTCAACAAGTATTTCAGAGTCGCTAATTGTCAGCTCGTTCCAACCAAATGGAATCTTCAGCAATTTCTCATTTTCCAAAATCTTTCCCGGTGTTAGGCTGCCTTTATGGTATCCACGTCCAATGTACACCGTTTCGCCCCACATGGTGCGTCCGCAAATGACGGCCTTCGCTGGAATACTACCATTAAACGGGACCCACGCAGCTCGAGCGTTGCATAACGCCTCGTAGGACTCCATTTCGATTGTCTTTCCGTTGTGGCAAGTATGGCAGAGGTTTCTGCGTGGAACCACCTTCGCTGGAAGTTGATTCCCTTGGTACACGACGCGTCCCACGAAGCTTGGTGATCCATCTTTGTCGTAACCGGCCAATACGGCACCTCTTGGCACAGGAGATTTGCTGGTTCCTGCTTGCCAGTCCACTGTAAAATAAATAAGCCTTATCAATTTGGATTGTTTCGCACGGCAATTTGCTACTTACGCGCTTGAGAGCACTTGCTTGTCGGTAGGCTGATGTCCACCAGAATGTCAAATTCTCTCAGAGTAATTTCCTTGAAATCGTACGGTATCTTCAGTACCTTACTGCACTCAAGAATCTTCCCTGGAGTCAAGCTACCGTTGTAGCGGCCGCGACCAAAGTACAGCTTTTCACCAAACCGATCACGACCGCATTCGATAGCGTTGAGTGGAAACACTCCGCGGAAGGGAACCCACGATACGTTGGCATAGCACAATGCCTCATACTCGGTCATTTCGAATTCCAGTCCTTCATCACCGGTATGGCACATCCGTTTGCTTGGCATCACTTTAGCAGGCAGCGTCAATCCATATCGAAAGACACGACCCAAATAGATAGCCGCTCCATCACTGTCGTTTCCTGCAAGAAGGGCACCAGGTGGAACACGACCATTACTCAGGGTGGAAACCCAGTGTCCTCCAACGCTCTGTTTTTGTGCTGAAATAAGGTTGAAAAAGTCAGTGGTACTATCGAAGAAAAGAAAAGTTCATGCATACATTCCCTGGAATCAACCAGAACCTCATACTGGGGCTGGGCATGCTCGGTTCCACCGAATCCAATATACAGACATCCTTGACTGGGTATGATCTTTCCAGGAGTCACACTGCCTTCATAGTGACCTCTTCCTATATAAACCCGTTCTCCGGTAGCAGTTTTCCCGCAGGATACGGCTCCTTTTGGAAGGTCTCCGTTCTTGCAGGGAACCCACGTAAAACTAAGTCCACATAGAACCTAAAATGATGGAAATTTAAACGTACTTGGTTGGGAACGGAAATCAGTGCACCAACCTCAAAGTCTGGCTTGGAGATTTCGAATCCATTGTACGTCACGAATGCTACCCTACGGATGGGAATCACCTTGGCTGGTAAAAACTGCCCGTAGTGGCTGGCACGGCCGACAAATATCGGCGATCCATCATGATCGGCGCCGGCTCTGACCGCATTCGGAGGATGAACGGCAGCGTCCGGTGACCATTGAACCCAGGTTTGAGCTAGAATGGTGGAAACATTCGAAATGGGTTTTAATAATATCGTGGAAAAATGAACATTATTCCGTTAAAAAAATCGTAATGCCTGCGTGATGGTGCATCCTGGTGCACGGTACAACAAAGGGAATTGAAAACTGTTCTTGATAACGTGAAGCCATTCTCGTAGGCGGGAACATGGTTCATGGACTGCCTTTGAAATATCATATATATTAATTATCAAACATTATTCAGTGATCTCATGTTCTATATTAAGACCAATTTGCTGTCAAACGGAGACCGGTTTTCGATTGGCTAAGAATTAAAGGCTGACTAAAAGTAAATTGGTACGTCCCTCGCGCGCCGTTCTACGGTTGGGAATCGAAAATATTTGACAGTGGTTTGTTTACACTTCTATATAGAAAAACTGGTGCTAGTTTGATCAAAGTAGTCGATCGCGTTCAGAAATAACGTCAAATAGAACTCGAAAGAAGAAAAAACATTGTTCAAAACACCTGGAAAATCCGGAGTGGTCCGGTTCCAAGCTGGTTAAAGTGCTGAAGATGCCGAAAACAACAGTTTGTCGAGTGCTCGAAACCTACAAGAAAACCCTGAGTGTGGAAAGGAATCAGCGGACCTACGAAAAAACTGGAAGCAGGGATCGTCAGCTGCGCAGTGTGTTAAAGCCAACCCCGGTCTTTCGATCCGAGATGTGGCCAGAAGGTATAACGCCAACTTTCAAACGGTGCGGAACATCCTTGCCAGGGAAGGATACATGTCGTACAAAGCAAGTATCCATCCAAACCGGCACATGAAGCAGAATTCCGTGGCCAAAAGCGTGTAAGGCTCATGTACGACCGTGTTTTGACGCAACACAAGGGCTGCACTTTGATCGATGACATAAGTCAAACTCGATTTTAAGCAGCGGTCAAAAATTTTACATCGCAACTGGGCGTGGGGATGTGCCGGGAAGATTCATGTTCGTGTTTGCCGACAAGTTCGCGAAGAAGGTCATGATTTGGCAAGCGATTTGGAGTTGTGGCCTGAAAACGGAACCATTCGTCACATCCTCGACGATGACATCCCAAGTTTACATCGAAGAATACCTGAAAAAGCATGTATTGCCGTTAATCCGCAAGCATAAGGGCAAAGTCATCTTTTGGCCCGATTTGGCCAGCTGCCACTACTCCAAGGTGGTTCTGGAGTGGTATGCTGCCAACAAGCTCGAATTTGTCCCCAAGGTAATGAATCCTCCTGAGGGCTACAAAATGGTGATTGTCAGGAGCGATATACCTAGCTCCGGTCCTCACAAGTTCCTACCTCACGCCTCCACGAGTCATATGATCACAAAAGACTGCCAGCTGAAACATGGACACAGCTGGATGGCGTAGCCTGGGCAATGTTGTCAATTCTATAATAGCAGAGTGAGGAGATGCGACGCGAAGCAAAAGCCGCGATAGAACGGGCGAGAACCAGAGGAGCCAAGAACGAAGCCCGTCAACGGTACTCGGCTCTAGAGAAGGAAGTCAAGCGCTCTTGCAGACGGGACAAGCGAGCGTGGGTGAACTCCCTGGCCTACGAAGGGGAGAAAGCCGCAAACACTGGCGATATACGCCTCCTCTACGATATCTCACGACGCCTGAGTGGAGCAAGGATGAACCCGAGGATGCCAGTGAAGGACACGACTGGACAATTGCTTACCGACCCCACTGACCAGCTGAAACGGTGGTTTGAGCACTTCGAACAACTTCTTCAAGTTTCGACGGCCAACCAGCCATCAACATCTCGGCATGATCCGCCTAGGGTGCGGCGCATCACTGACGTCAATTCCGAGGCCCCATCACTGCAGGAGATTGAAGCAGCTATCCGAAGCATGAAATCCAACAAGGCTCCAGGGGTCGATCGCATATCAGCAGAGATGCTCAAAGCTGACCCCATGCTATCCGCACAAATGTTGCATAAACTATTCTGTAATATCTGGGACACCGCGACTTTTCCGGTCGACTGGATGCAGGGCATCTTAGTGAAGGTCCCAAAGAAGGGGGATCTGACTGTGTGCGACAATTGGTGAGGCATCATGTTACTGTGTATTGTTCACAAGTTGGACCCTGGATTGAAATCCCAAGCGCTGGACCCTTCAACGTGGCCGGAAGGTATCATGTTTCGAGAGTTCAACGGTTCCCAAAAATTTCGAAAGCCCGTCAACCCGTCTCCTACTGGCTGATCCCGGGATGCAACGTCGATAGCCTAATGGAAGCCCCCAAGCCACCTGAAACAGTCGTGCCCATTCCTGCATCCTGCCAACCGAGTCGTCCCGGGCCTGTTAGGGTAGGGGAGGGGGTCTTCCAACCGGAATTATCAGGCAAGTACTTTCCACTATCGACTTATGCTTCGCCTGATGTACCTTCGACTTATAGCACGACTTCTGTTTGTTCAAACACCAATGACGAGATCGAAACCGAGACTGCTAATACTGCATCAACTACTTCATCGATACAAACCAACTACACTTCGACACCGAGACGCCCGCTATACAGCATCATGGAAGCCCCCGATCCTCCCGACATGGTCCAGTTTGCACCCCGTATCAACTTAGTATCCTGCCATCAGAGTCTCGGTCCCGTTGTCGGGAGTGGAGAGGGGGTCTTCCAAACAGTGAACACCGGCAAGTACTCAAGCTTAACAACCTGCTCGCTCCCTGATGATCATTCACTTTCTAGTGCACCCGATTACCAGCGTTGCGTGACCTCGTTCAACGACTGTGGGGGCAGTAGTGGAACCCCATCAAGACATCGATTTCTGTCGGTTTATTACCAAAACGTCAGAGGTCTACGAACGAAAACATCTGACTTGAAGTTAGGATTATCCAGCTGCGATTACGATGTGGTCGTTCTCACCGAAACGTGGCTCCGGCCCGATATAATCGATGCGGAGCTAACATCGGATTACTCGCTGTTTCGATGTGATCGTAGTGAATCAACAAGCAACTTGTCGAGAGGCGGGGGTGTGCTCGTTGCAGTAAAATTGAGTCTGCACTGTACCGAGGTATCTTTAACCGACTGTAGACAGCTTGAGCAAGTCGCTGTGTGCGTGAAACTACCAAACCGGTCTCTGCACATTTTCGGTATTTACCTTCGTCCGAATTCTGATCCTGCGTTATATTCCACCCACTCTTCCGCTGTTCAGTATGTTGCTGATCGATCGGCGGCCAGCGACATAGTCTTACTTCTTGGGGATTACAATCTCCCTCAGCTGCAATGGACCTTCGATGAAGATGTCAATGGATACCTGCCTGCAAATGCCTCCAGCGAACAAGAACTCGTACTAACCGAATCCATTTCTACATGTGGTTTGGTTCAACTAAACTCAATCTCAAACCCGAATGGCAGGCTACTCGATCTGGCTTTTACGAACGCTCCTGACGATTTTGAAATATCGCATCCTGTTTTACCACTCTTGCCTATCGATCCTCACCATCCGCCGTTAGAACTTCAAGTTGATGTACATAGATGTGTGCACGTTCCAGCAAACGCTCAGTCGGACTCTATTGATCTGGATCTTAGGCGCTGCGACTTCGAATCTCTCAATGCAGAATTTTCATCGGTTGACTGGGAGCAGCTTCTTCAGGGGCACTCTGTCGATGATATTGTTCTTCTGTTTTACGACAAGCTTTACGAAATTCTCCACTTGAAGGTCTCTCGACGCCGCCCTGCTATTAGTGGAGCCAACAGGAAGCCCTGGTGGTCCATTGAGTTAAGAAACCTGCGCAACAGACTGCGTAAAGCACGTAAACGATTCTTCGCTAACAAAACCATTGAAAACCGAGAATCGCTTCACCTTGTGGAACTGTCCTACAAAGAGCTCGTAGCTTCAAGCTACCATGAATACATGCAGAGGCTGCAATCGAATTTGAAACAAAACCCATCAATGTTCTGGAGGTTCGTGAAGCAACAAAGGGCAAGCAATCGTGTTCCGGACAATGTCAAGTATGGTGACGTTTTGGCCTGCTCTTCTGAAGAGGCAGCTAATCTTTTTTCGACCTTCTTTCAAAGTGTGTTTAATGCGGAGTCGCCCCAACCTCACCCGGGTTGTTTTCAAAATGTGCCATCCCATGATATCCACCTTCCTTTTTTCAATTTTTCTCGTGAGGAAGTGTTGAGAGCGTTAGCCAAACTAGATGCGTCGGAAGGAGCCGGAGTCGACGGTTTAACTCCAACACTGCTGAAGAATTGCGCCGAGTCTATAGTTAAACCTTTGACGATACTGTTCAATCGATCGTTAAATGAAAAAACATTCCCAGGTTTATGGAAAACTGCCAAAATGATTCCCATCCACAAATCGGGTAGCGTGCGGCACGTTGAAAATTACCGCGGGATCTCGATTCTCTGTTGCCTGGGAAAGCTCTTTGAATCCTTGGTCCACGAGGTCTTACTGTCTGCAGCAAAACCGATAATTTCGGAATACCAGCATGGATTCGTTCCCCATCGCTCTGCAACAACCAACTTATTATGCTACACCAACGTTTTGTTTCGTGAGATTGAAAGCCGGAATCAAGTGGACTCTGTATACATTGATTTTTCGAAAGCATTTGATACTGTTCCGCATAGCTATGCCGTGGAAAAGCTGAGACATATGGGTTTTCCCGATTGGATAGCCGACTGGCTAATGTCTTACCTGACTGGTAGGAAAGCATTCGTCCAGGTGAACTCAGCACGATCCAGGACCTTCTACATTCCATCTGGAGTTCCACAAGGGAGTGTGTTAGGTCCATTGATCTTTGTGCTCTTCATCAATGACTTGTGCCTGCAAATATCTTCTGGAAAGTTGTTTTTTGCCGACGACCTCAAAATCTTCAGAGTCATCAAGTCTGTTTTGGACTGTGTTGCTCTGCAGATTGACATCGATGCCCTTTCACGATGGTGCAAGGAAAATGGAATGTGCGTGAACATCAATAAGTGCAAGGTGATCACTTTTAGCCGTTGTTGGATTCCCATCAATCATCTTTACAATATTGACACTGCTCCGCTGGAACGTGTGCAGTCTATCCGTGATTTAGGAGTTATCATGGATTGTAAGCTTCGATTCAACGAACATATATCCACCGTTACTGCCAAAGCCTTCTCCGTTCTTGGGTTCATTCGCCGCAATGCATCTCAATTCACCGACGTGCACACATTAAAAGCCTTGTTCTGTGCTTTAGTGCGAAGTATCCTGGAATATGCTGCTCCCATTTGGGCACCGTACCATACATCTCAGGTGATCCGCATCGAACGTGTGCAGAAATCATTCATTCGCTTTGCTCTTCGGCACCTACCGTGGAATGATCCTGTCCATCTACCTGCATATCCAGAACGATGTCAACTAATTGATCTGGAACTGCTATCGGCAAGACGGCTGAAATTGCAGCGGCTGGTTATATTCGATATCGTCCAGAATAACGTCGACTGTTCGGATCTTCCCCTGCAAGTATCACTGAACGTTCCACAGCGTCAGCTGCGGTACTCAGCACTTATCGCAGTTCCCGCACATAGAACATGTTATGGTCATAACAACCCGCTCAGTTCTTGCCTCGGAGCTTTCAACAATGTTAGTGATTTGTTTGATTTTAATGTGTCCAAAAATTGTTTTAAAAATAGGATTAAAAACATAGCATAAGTTAAACTAGTCTGTACGACACTGTCGAAGACGAAGAACAAATAAACAAATAAACAAAGTTCTGTGCAAAGTTATCCTGAATCGGATACAGGAGAAGATCGACGCGACTTTCCGACGGCAGCAGGCAGGATTCCGTGCCGGAAGAACTTGTATGGACCATATTTTCACGCTCCGCATCATCCTGGAGCAGGTCAATGAATTCCAAGAGTCCCTTTATTTGGTATTCATTGACTACGAAAAAGCTTTCGACCGTCTCAATCACGAGAATCTGTGGGGCGCCCTGAGACGCAAGGGAGTCCCGGATAAAATCGTCAACCTCATCGAAGCGCAGTATGAGGCTTTCACGTGCAGAGTTCTGCATAACGGAGCCTTGTCCGACCCTATCCGGGTAGTCGCTGGTGTGAGACAAGGATGTATACTATCACTGCTACTGTTTCTCATCGTAATCGACGGGATCATGGTAGGTGCAATAGACCGTGTACCGAACCGTGGGCTGCTTTGGCATCCTATCACCATGGAGCATCTCAACGACTTCGATTTGGCTGATGATGTTGCTCTACTAGCACAACGGCGCTCTGATATGCAGAGTAAGCTCAATGACCTAGGCGAACGCTCCTCTGCGGCGGGTCTCACCATCAACGTCAACAAGACCAAATCGTTGGATATCAACACGGGCAACCCTTCCAACTTTACGGTAGCGGGGCAAGCAGTGGAGAAGGTCGAATGTTTCCAATATCTTGGCAGCCAAATAGCGTCGGACGGCGGGACCAAGAGCGACATAGGTGCACGAATCAAGAAGGCTAGGGCTGGCTTTGCGAGTTTACGAAACGTATGAAGATCCAACCAGATAAGTCAACGCACCAAAATCCGAATTTTCAACTCGAACGTGAAATCTGTGTTGTTATACGCCAGCGAGACGTGGTGTGTATCAGCGGAGAACACTCAAAAGCTGCAGGTCTTCATCAACCGATGCCTGCGATATATAATTCGTGCCTGGTGGCCTCACAACTGGATCTCGAATGCCGAGCTCCATCGTCGAAGTCATCAGAAACCGATAGCAACAGAAATTCGAGAGCGAAAGTGGAGGTGGGTCGGCCACACACCGTCGGCCGCCCCGTCGACGGAAACGAAATCTGCAAGCAAGCGCTGGATTGGAATCCAGCAGGACATCGCAGCAGAGGCACACCCAGGGGCTCATGGCGGCGGAGCCTCAATAAGGAAATTAAGCAAGTCGATAGGAATCTGACCTGGGCGCAGGTCAAGGCAAAAGCAAGCAGCCGCCCAGGATGGAAGTCTTTCACGTTGGCCCTTTGCACCGCTGGTGGTGCACAGGACCCTTAAGTAAGTAAGTAATGAATCCTCCGAATTGCCCGGAATTCCGACCAATCGAAAAACACTGGGCAATTTCAAAGCAGCGACTTCAACGAAGCGGCGGAGCAGTCAAGGACATCCAGCAAAAGCGGGCAAAGTGGAAGAAATGCTCGTTTTCACTGTGCGGGCGCTGATGGGCTCCATCAAGAGGAAGGTTCGAGATTTCGTTCGAACTGGAGAAATGTAACCATCTAATGCTGTAACTTTGAAGTTTCAATAAAAGTGCTGTAAAGCAACCATTAATGGACTTTTCAAACTTATTGAATCACGAATGTCTTTTTGTGCGTACCAATTTATAGGCAGCCTTTACACAAGCAAGCTTCGATGATGCTACAATATACATGGTAATTTGCTGTAGTTTTTACGCAAAATAAACATGGCTTTGAAAATAAACATGGCTTTTTAGAAACGGTAGCTTTGGATTCAGGCTTATTGATTGCTGCAGCTGTGGACTGGCGGAAGAATATAACGGATTCTAATATATGTAATTCCAGCGCATTATAAATATTCAGGGGGCCCATCCTGTTCATCAAAAGCTCCCGACCTTAACTTTCGCTGTTTTCAGTGCATCGAATGTTTCGTTTGTAGCAAATCTCTGTGGGTGTGGATGGATGTTGCATTTTGTAGTGAGTCGTTCTGGTGGTGACTGCTGTCAGAAGCAGCATGAAACACATAATTGAAACGTATCACAAATCGCTTTCAACCTGGCACCACAGCGCCAACGTTGGACGCCGACTGATGCTAGATTTATTTTTGTGTCTTCTCGAAAGAATGACGTATACTTGTTCTTGGCATCTTACGTATTATATTAGTATACGTATGCTAGACACTGATCTACAAAGAATTGAAAGTGGTTTGAAGCAAAAATGAATCATTGTAAAGTTAAGTGACATAACTCCATTAAAAAAAAAAAAGTATTAATTCAGTGCCAACATTTCAAAGGGGCGTAATTGCTTTTGTAAACAATGGCTTTAGCCGTCAATTTCTCGCAACTAAAAGCTCGCTTTTCCAAATTAACAATGCTAGCTAGTAGAGGAAACATTCCTCTACCTGTTGGTGTCATTATTTTTTATGAGTGAGCTTTTATTCGCAAGAAATCGACGACTAAAGCCATTGTTTACAAATGCAATTACGCCTCTTTGAAATGTTGGCACTGAATTCATTGTACACTTGAACACTTGACATCCAATGCAACCTTTGTTTCGATTCCCATTTCTCGAAAACTCGCCTAGTCGACTCACACCCCTATGTCACAAGGTGCTTCAAGTGGTCTTCTCTCTCGGGATGGTCATGAACATGGTAATCACTAGAGAGATCGGTTGTAATATGCAAGGTCAGCACAAGTAGCATTCGTACCGTGCCAAACCAAAACTGTTCGATGATTGCTTGATGGCATCTTCGCTGATTTCACAAATATTTCCCAAGTAAAATAAGATCGCTAGAATTTGACCGAAATAAATCAGCTGATTTTGTTCACATTTCTTCTTTCCTTTTCGTTGAGCCAGTAACCTTATCTATTTTTGACTTTTGCCACGTCGAACCGGATATTGCCATCTTCGCTTCAATTTCACAGTTTTAGACTACACTCTGACTTCACTCAGCTTCTCACCTGATCCACTCGCAGATTGATCACCATCGCTGGGAAACTTTTCCCACGGTACACTGTATCCTCTCCGGCACAGGTGCATTTCAATTGAAATTTCCAATCAACTCTCGTTTGATAACTAACGTGTTAGGATCGCGGTGCGAGAAAATCGACTGAAAGGAACGTAGGCAAATTCTCGCGATTCAAAGTTCAAAAATAAAACTGTTCCGTTATGCTGGCTTGTTTTCGCACGAAAAATGAAAATCGTGAAACAAAGAGCGGTAGGGGAAATTTGCTGTCTGTAGTGTAGAGGATGGTGAAGATATGGCGTCAAGTCATGCATATGTTTCGGTTGTTTGCGAAGTGTCAATTGCAAATTAGTGTGATGGATTGAATTTTGGGTTTTCACAGAAAATACATCTGGAGGGGGGTTGGCAATTATCCACGGTCCATACAAATTTTAAAAATTGTGTATGGACAATTGTCTACGCAGGGGAGTGGGGAGGGGGGAAAATCTCAGGCAATCCCAAAAAACTGTTTAAGTAGTGGTGATTTTTTTTGTATTATAGTCACTTTTTAAGTCATTTGTGACTTGTCTTTGGTGGAGATTTGAATTCGTCCCAACAAACCATGGAAGCAGAATAAGAGCTTATTCTGGCAAAAAATATGCCTCTTCAGCTAAAAATTGGCGGGGTAGTGTATAAGACACGACCGCATGGTTGACGTAGACTACGTTGAGATGTTTAGCGAACTTCTTGTGCATTTTTTTTATATTGATTTAAAATACAGTAGAAGTAACTTATTTCCTCAATTTACTCCATTTCCTGTCCTTGACCTGGCAATTTCCTCTAGTTTATTAGTTATTTTTCTGACTGTTTCTGAACTTTCCGCTAGGGATATTTTCGCATATGAAACACTTGTCTGTAATCTTCCGTTATAAAATCTATTCCCCGTGCACACTTCAATGGTCATCCCATCACGTTTAACCAAACGCTTGATCGCAGTGGAATACCTCCTGTGGGAAATCGCTCACAAGCACGTATTGCACATCCTAGCCCAAGTAACATTGTAAGTTTTATTGAGGTTTTAAAGCACTCTACAAGTCTAAATCATGGTCTACAGTACCCTCATAAAACCCAAATTGTTACTTGGGAGGTAACCAATAAGCCCGCTAATTTGGAATGATTTTGTTATATAAAGCTAACATACGACTAAAACAGGGCGTTGGCGCATTATAAGTCGGATTATTACTAAGCAGGTTTGTTGGTTACTTGGGATTGCCCCCTCACCTTCTTTCCATCAGCATAATCGAAAATTTGATATTCAGAGTTGTGTTTTCACAAAATTAGAAAGTTTGGCCCATGTGACCCTGAGTTCAATATTTAATCAGAATTTACTACTTCAAGCAATCAAAAATTCGTCCATCCAAGTAGGGTCATAATTCTAAATGTTCATTGGATAGCATAACGTTCGAATTTATCCGCCTCTTAAGCACATACTGAGGAACTAGAACTACTAGTATTCAGTAATATATCTCTTAACTTTTTCCATTCTTGTATTTACAAAAAGATGCTCCAACCCATTTTCAGAGGTTTTATTTTCATGAAACCGAACTAAACACAGCACCACCCATAAACGCGCTAATCCACTTGGTGCATGCATTTTGTAACAAACAACAATGTGAAGCTCTACTTAAGATGTAAATGAATTTTTACCGTCCCTCTGAATCCCACTTCAACACAGGGATGGCCAAGATAACCTTTTTTGCTGTTTTATTTAAGCATTCTGCTAACAACCCAATTTCATTACTTCATTTTGATGGCTACCAAGCCTTTGGGATTTTCCTTATTAGAGAGTTGAATAAATTTTTCTCCTTTAGTTTACTTAAATCTTTGGGTTTTTTTAGTTAGGTAGGTTCCGATTCAACACATTGTAGTTTAATTTTTATACCTATGATCTTGACTTTTTTTACCTAGGGGATGAGTACTTAAGGGGGTAAGATTTTGATAAGTTCTTTAGTGGGAATGACACTGATAAAGACTGCACATTGTAGTCGAAATACGTATCTGTCATGGATACCAAAATTAATTAAGTGGAATTTTTTATAGCAAGTGAGTGGAAGTAAGCCTGCTAAGATCAGAATATGCCACTTCATGGGTATATTTTTACAATGACTCCTCCCCGCGAGAGATCAACCCCTTCAAAATAAGTCTGATAATTTTAACTGAAAATATAATATTACATAATATTTGAAATTTCACAAAACCACTTAGTTATGATAATTTGAATTTGGGGTCAAATTGGCCCCAAGGTACAGACAACCTAAGTTTTTTTTTACATTGACAAAAGATTAATAGACCTAAATTTGGCATAGTTCGAACGATGATAATTTGTTGAAAAGAAATGTCTATTTAGCAAATGTCTTGGTGGTATGTAAAAGTTCAATTTTGATAAGAGTTCCATTGAATCAAAACTCTGCGAGACGATGTCGTTTATGGATTCATGACACCCATTTTATGTTTGGATGTTGATAAGTATGCAATCCAACCTAACTTGAGGAATGCATATAATAAAAATCGCTTTTGTACTGACTTTATTCTTTCTTCATGATTGAAAAGACCAAACTATGCTGAAGTATTGACCTGCCATAAGCAATGTGCAATATTTTTATCGTATACGGGTCATGAAAATTATAGCAGAAGCGTTTTATATTGTTGGCTCTGTTTATAGTTGTATTATAATCATCGATGAATGTAAGTTTAGAGTCTAAGATAATATCGAAGACAACATATCAAGGAGACTGGTAACTTTGCCTGAATCCGAGCGACAGACACAGTAGCGCTGTGCTCGAGCGAAGGTGGAAGCAACGCATAGAAAAATGAGCAAATGCACAAATCTTTCTTCGGAGGATGTTGTCTTCGATAATATCTAAGTCTCTCTAACATTCTGATGTACAATTACCTTATTGTTATGTATCCATTTTATACTAAAGGTAATTGAGTTATTTTTTTTCCGTGTTGGATGTATTCATCCCTGCCATAACTTTGATCTATTATGATATTCCCCGTTTTTATATTGCTTTATCAGTTATGTCGTATCACTATTTTGTGAAGCGACCGACATAGACTGACCAAAAGCATTTTCCCAGCCAGGTATTACATTTCGAATGAAATGTACTACTTTACTGGGACCTGTATTCCAAATATCAAAGGGTTCTGCCAGCCCCTTATCCAGAAAAATACGCCTTTTATTGAAGATTGCTGCACAAGAGCATAGCAGGTGTTCAGAGTCTTCTTTTTCTATACCACAGAATCGACACATATCCTCTTGAAGTTTTCCTATTAGCTTCAAATGATATTTACATGGACAATGTCCTGTTATCAAACCAGTATAGACACTGAGATCTTTCTTTGATAGTTCAAGAATTTTGCTATTCATTGAAATGTTCGGAATTATGAACCGTTTCGATTTCCTATCAATAGAAGTGTTGTTCCAATTGGTCTCCACTTTCATTTTTTTCCATTTCTTGAACTCCATTTTAAGAGAACAAGTAGAAACTCCACAGAATGGTTCTGGTCCTATGAATTGCTGTGATGATCCTAGCCTGGCTAACGTATCGGCTATTTCATTCCCTTCAATTCCACAGTGGCCAGGAACCCAATATAAGTTTACTTGGTTTTGACAGGCCAATTTCTGAAGTGACATTGCACATTCCCATACGAGTTTGGAATTGCATGTTGCTGATTTTAAAGCATTTAATGCTGCTTGACTATCAGACATAATGCAGATATTCGAATGTTTATAATTCCTGCGCAAGCATATTACAGAGCATTCAAGAATTGCTTGAATTTCTGCTTGGAACACGGTTGGCCAGTAACCCATGGATATTGAGATATCTATCCCTGGACCAGTTACCCCTGCTCCCACACGGTTGTTCAACCTTGAACCGTCTGTATAAAAAACAGTTGAACCTGGACGGATGTTTGGTCCCCCACTTTCCCAAACATTACGATCAAATTCTGCTGCATTGTATAAACGATCGAAATTATATTTTTTCTCCATCCAGTCTTCATTTTTTAATACAAGAGAATCAATATCAAACATTTTTTAAATGCTAAGGTGTCCTGTAAGATCACCTTCAAGGAAGTACTTTGTTCGTTGAGTCCTTAAAGCGCTCCTTTCAGCTTCTAATTGGATAAATTGATGCAACGGAATCAGATAAAGTAGAGCATCTAGTGAAATACTCGGTGTGCTGTTCATTGCACCAGTTATTGAGAGAGTAGCAAGTCTTTGCAGTCTCCCCAGCTTCTTCTGAGCCGATTTTTCATTAGTTTTCGGCCACCAAACTAATGATGCGTAGGATATTCTGGGTCTTACAATCGTCAAATAAATCCAGTGGATCATTTTTGGTTTTAGGCCCCATTTCCTACCAAATGTTTTTTTACTTATCCAAAGAGCATTTATTGCCTTATTAACAACCTGCTCTATATGTGAATTCCAGTTAAGTTTACTGTCAAGAATGACTCCCAGATACTTGACTGTTCGTGAAAGTTCTAAAGAGGTTTCTTTCAATTTTAAGTTATTTATAGAAAATTTCCTTTTCCGTGTGAACGGTACAATAGTGGTCTTAGAAGGGTTTATATTCAACCCTTCTTTAGCGCACAACGACGAAACATAATTTAAAGCAGTTTGAATTCTATTTTAAATGATATTATCAAATTTTCCTCGTACTATTATGACTATGTCATCAGCAAAGCCAATTATCTCGAAGCCCTTTGCTTATAAGTTTTTGAGAAGTTCGTCAACAATTAAAGACCATAAAAGAGGTGAAAGCACACCTCCTTGAGGACACCCTTTTACAGCTCTAACTGTTATGGATGAGCATCCAAGATTTGCTGAGATTTCTCTTTTAGAAAGCATCTCATTAATCCACTTAACGATGCTTTTGTCGAATCCACGCTTCAACATATTGTTTTTCATGGAGTTATAAGATGCATTGTCAAATGCTCCTTCAATATCAATGAATGCTGCTAGTGACATTTCTTTTGATTCAAAATATTTTTCTAGTTTTGTAACAAGCGTGTGAAGAGCTGTTACTGTTGATTTACCAGCTTGATATGCAAACTGATATTTACTCAAAGGAATTGTAATCAAGTACGTTGATTTTATATGCTGATCTATTATTTTCTCCATTATTTTTAGCATAATGGATGATAAACTGATCGGCCTGAAGGATTTAGAAGAAGTTTTATCCTTTTTATTAGCCTTCGGAATAAATATAACCTTTACTTGACGCCAAGTTATCGGAATATAACTTAATCTTAAGCTTGCTCTAAACAAGCCTGTTAGAATGGGAGTCAAAGTTTCTATTCCTTTCTGAAGTAGTACTGGAAAAATTCCGTCCCTACCTGGTGATTTGAAAGGAGCAAAAGAATCAATCACCCATTCGACTCGTTTTTCTGAAAAAATTTTATTGGCCAGATTACGAGCGTCTTTCCTGGCAATCTCTAACCCAGTCGATTCATTCATTGGTGTCTGAACTTCCGTCCTGATTTTTCCAGAGCCAGTTTGCGCTGCACGTGTATTTTGGTCTTCATTTATGTTGGTAATTGAACATGGAAAGTGTGTTTTCATCATTGTTTCTAATGTTTCTTCCACAGACTTAGTAAAAGTGCCGTCTTCATTTTTAAGAGTTCCTAAGCCATTTGAATGATATTTTGAAAGGACTTTTTGCAATCTGGCAGCAACTGGAGTATTTTCAATGTTTTCACATGTATGCCTCCAGTCCTTCCTTTTAGATCTTCGGATTTCCTTATTATAACATGTGAGGGCTTCCCTGTATTGATCCCATTGTCTTGTTATTTTCGCCCGGTTAAATAGCTTCCGGGTTTTCTTCCGAAGTTTCTCTAAGGTTTTATTCCACCAAGGTACATCCCTATTCGTAGAGCGTTCCTTTGCAGGACAGCTGTCGTAATAAACTTGTTGGATTAAGCTTGAAAGCTCATGAGAATTTTTCTAATTGAGTTATACATATGTTCTAGCAAACTTTTGTTACACCAAGTGTGGAATATCTGTATTTCAGTTTTGAATGTGTCGATGTCTTCGGCATTTTTAATTCCTAAAAAAAAAAGTTGTGTCCAAAGTACGACCGCATTGTTGCCGTAGGAGTACGAGATTATTTTTACTGCTCCATTCAATAACAATATAAATGGATTAGACACTCAACTGCAAAATAAACAATTCATTATTCAAATTTTTGAAATTGGGCGTTTATTGAATAATTCCTAACATTTTTCGATTACATTTTTGAAAATATAAAATCAGTTTCTTTATTATTCATAATCAGGTTCCAAACATTTTTACCCAACTAATGTTGTGCTAAGTAGCATATTTTTCGATTTAGAGCCAATGTATGGCAAGCATAGACCGAAACAGAAAAAAAGTTCAATAATCTTTGAGATTTGATCATATGCGTAGAACAATTTTTTCATCAAATATGATCTTCTATCTAGTCTTCAGAATGAAGACATATCTTTGAATTCGGAATCTCTGGGGCGGGTTGCATAATGAAACGACTACGACTTCAACTTCTAATTCCCTTTTGGAAGACATTGATTTACAAATTCCAAATTCTTGTAGAATTCATTATGGTACACGCCCCTAATTGTACCAGAACAGGGAGTTAGCTTGTTACAGCCTCATATATTTGCATTACCCAACAAACAATTGAGAGCTCTTATACAACACCTGAGTTGATCAAACGTTGAATAATAGCTTCCAGAGTTGAACAAGAATGTAGTTGTATTGCGATTTGATTAAAAGTTTTAAAAGCTGTTGGAGCACTCTTAAATGATTGTTTACGTTCGGTTTAACTATATGCTTTATAAAACCTACGATAACTTTTATAGCACCTTAGTTAAACCGATTGACAAGAGCTATATAGAACGTGGAATAAACGCATCAAAACAAACCATTGGGAGCTTTTATAAAACACCTGAGTTGATCAAACGTTGAATAATAGCTTCCAGAGTTGAACAAGAATGTAGTTGTATTGCCTTTTTGGTTAGAAGCTTCAAAAGCTGCTTGGAGCACTCTTAAATGATTGTTTACGTTCGACCAACCACCAACCACAATTTTGTTGCTAAAAATAGCACAAGTGATAGGCACGTTTATATGGCCATAAGGCAATGATTATTCGACTGCAAGAGAAGTCACTCTCAAGATGAGCTTCATATACTTCTCTCATATAATCAAAATAAATATGTATTCAAGAATAGAGCAGATGGAAACAGAAGCGGCTGGCAATCCGGGATTATGAGTTCGAATCTTGCTTCGAGAAACCCTCGGTGGAGTAGAGGTAAATTATATGTCGGTGTTATTAATAAATGTAAACATTAATTTAAGACATATATCATATAATCAACGATAACTTTTCTAGATAAATTCTCTCAATTAATGATTAGAGAGATTATTTGAAAGAATATCAATCAAAGATTAAACAGATGCTTGTTACTACTTCCTCCATGATCACAGAATGTGCATTATGGCATAATTACATATTTTTTCAATGTGCACAAATAAATTAAATTAATAAAAACTGTACAAGCAATTATTTTGGCGTACCACGACAAATGTTAAACTAATTTTAATCTGTTAGGAGGTGTCTACAAACGTTGTATTAGAGCTTTCACCAAAAAAAATAAAGCTTGAGTTTAAATATGTATCTATAAACGTTGTATAAAAGTTGCTTCTATCCGGTTGTTAAGGAGTCATTGAAAAGTGCTATAAACACTTTTCACCGCTTGCTGTACAATGATTATTTAGGAGTCATAAAAAAATGCAACAAACGCCTCTCAGGTTTACTCTCTACTAAATTTCAAAGCAGCTGTCAGGAAGTGTCTACAAACGTTGTATAAGAGCTTTCACCAAAACAATAAAGCTTGAGTTTAAATATGTATCTATAAACGTTGTATAAAAGCTGCTTCTACTCCTATACCGCGTATACATATAATGCTGTAGTTGAACAGGTTCTCCAAACCAGTGTAAACAAGAGTTTTACAGAAGTTGTAATAAACAAATTGTACAGTTATTATTCAGCATGCAGTTGAATAATATCACAATGGAAGCGTTTCTTCAACAAGAAATTGATTTTGGGTAAACGTT